TTTTCTTTCTCCTCCTAAACGGGAAATGCAAATAAATGAGGAAAGACATAGAGGTCTAAATAATAAAACCCAGGGCGGAAGTATTAGTAAAAATTAGGAACATGGGTCTTTGAAGTCGGTTGGAATGGAAAGACAAAGAGACAGGTATTGAAATGCACCTTTGGTACACTTGAAACTTAGGCAGTATTGTAAATCAACTATACACATTTTTAAAAAAAAAGAAATGCATCTTTGGGAAAGAGACCAAGATCTCGGGTAACTCACAGGAGCTTGGAACCCTCATCGCCACATCGCTTGGGAGCTAAGGATGTGAAAGGACCAGCGGTCTGGCCCTGGTCGTCTGAAGCCAAGCTCAGGTCCATGGGCAAATCTGAGGTTGGGAAGGATGCTTTAGAAAGACCCTTGGGTGTTTGTATTTCCCCTTCAGACAGGTGAGTAGATTTAGTAAAAGTTACTCAAATCACTCCCTGTTTCAACCTTTACATGTTCTCCTGACTGTCTGAGACCCCCTTGGGAACTGGGGGACGAAGGGCAGCACAAAGCCACAAATGTGAAACACTCCTTTTTATACAGAAATAACCACTTGAATTGCCATGTACATCGCAAAGCTTATGCCCAGTTGCATTCTCTGTTGGACTGATTCTGTTCACTCCCTACTCTCGAAACTTTCCTCACTTTAAAAACCTTTCTTAAATTTGTATTTAGTTTTTATTGATATACAGTCAGTTTACAACGTTGTGTCAATTTCTGGTGTACAGCATAGTGTTTCAGTCATACATGTACATACAGGTATTCCTTTTCCAATTCTTTTTCATTATTAGGTTAGTATGAGATATTGAATATAGTTCCCTATGCTATACAGTATCAATTTGTTATTTATTTTATATATAGTAGTTAGTATCTGCAAATCTTGAGGTCCCAGTTCATCCCTTCCCAACCCTTTTTCTCCCCTGGTAACGTAAGTTTGCTTTCTATGTCTGTGAGTCTGTTTCTGTTTTGCAAATAAGTTCATTTGTGTCATTTTTTTCTCTTGTTTTTTTAGATTCCTCATTTTTAAATGCCTGAATCTGTTGCTTTATTTCTAAAAAGCCTTTCCTATACATTGACTTCGGGTTTTTCCACACCCCTGAATGGCTGGCTTTATTATTATCATCTTTCTTTCGCAAATGTTCAAACAAAAGTTCAAGAAGACAGCTGGCAAAGTGGGAAAACTTTGGTCTTTAAATCCTGGATCCTTGTGTGACTCGGCACATTTTATCTGGAGACAAAACAGTGTGGCCTCAGAGCAACAAGAGCAGCAGCGAGGGAGATCAGTGAAATGGGGCTGCAGACTCCACGCTGCTCAGTTTAAGTTTAGAAAGTGTGCAGCCGTGATTTGCCTGATGGGGTGATCGTGGGTATATTTACGACGAGAGGAAACACCAAAAAACCAACTGAACCAATCACTAGCTGGCTGGGAGTCCCGCCCGCTGCAGAGCGGGCTGCTTGCGGGGCTGGCTGTTACCTTCAGTTCGCTCTCTAATGCATGTTCCATTTCAAACGTGTTACTCGCAGTAGGGTGGGGGGAAGGGTATACAGCTCAGGGGCAGAGCGCATGCCTAGCACGCACGCGGTTCCGGGTTCAATCCCCAGTGCCTCCACCAAAATAAATAAATAAACCTAGTGACCCCCCGCCCCTGCCAAAAAAAAAAAAAAAAAAAGAAGAAATAAGGGATGACAGAATAAAAACTTCCAAAAAGAAAAAACAGTGGCACTCTCTCTTACTTTTATTTCAGCATTCTCATTCCTGGGAATTTCCCCTAGGGACATAATTCAGTGGAAAGAAAAGGCTGTATGCATGAAGATATGGTTGCAGCTTTATCTATAATAGCAAAATATTGGAAAGACTCAATGCCCATTTACACAGGAATACCTAAACGATAGTGGATCAGTTTGATAGCATATTATGCAGCAACAGATACAATGATTATAACGATTCTTTAGCAAAATGGAAAACATCATAATGTTGGGCATAAAAAACAGAATAAAAAAAAAGGCTGGCTACAGTTTGGTGAAAATCTGTTTTTGTACAGACAAAGACTGGAAAACATGAAGATAGTGGATTGGTTATACATGAGTCTTTCTAGACAATTTCTTTGAAACGTTGTTCTTACAAATAAAATCACATAGGAAACACAAAATGATAAATAACTGTTGTTAACGTTAAATGAACTGCTATTAGGTGTCTCCGTGTGTGTGTCTGTGTCTGTGTGTGCATACTGTAATAATTTATCATGTAGATTTAAGACTTAGGGTCCTGAGAATCAATACTCAACATTTTTGTTACTTACCAGATGGTTTTCCATCACCATACATTTATCCATCAAAGGAAGAAAAATTTTTGTAATAAGAGTCCAATAAATGTTTCTGGAATGAATGAATAAATAAACAATGTGATGAGATCAAATTCTTATCATGGACCTGAGCTTTGTTTCTAATATACACTTCTCAGACTCTTGAAAAGGGAGCAGTAGTATCAAGAAGTTGGTTTGTGTTACTGTAATAATGAGAGGAGGTGAAGACATTTTCCGGACTGTCCTTCACTCTGGAGCCCTTCTCCAGTGCGAAAGGGAGAGCAGCTCTTTTGCCCCCTTTCCTAATTGCCCATTTCTGCCCCCCTCTAACCTTAGAAGACCCTACTTTATAGGAATGAGATCACTAAGCAATTGAAACCAACTCCTGACTTACGCTTCCCTGAGTGCACACCCTGCCTTGTGTAAACTGTTAGTTCTTTTCCTGGATAACAAGAAGAATGAAGACTGAAGCAGTCAAGGACCGATGGGCTTGCTACGCCCGACAGCCCCCTGCACAATCCTGCAGGCAGGTCGCCAGGTGAGTTAACCTCTGAAGAGAGAGTCAGCGGGTCTGCACTCAATGGAAAATGATGCCGGAAGCAACCTCCTGCCTCGATGATTCACTGAGATCTTGCCCCCCACTTTTCCCTTTAAAAACTTTCATGGTTGAGCAGAATCTTTGGAGTTGGTCTCTGGACAAGAGTCCACCTTCTCCCCAAATTGCTGGCTTTTTTGATTAAAGCACCTTCCTTTTCTACTGACACTTGTCTCTCTTTGAGTGGCGAGCAGATGAACCTGAGTTCGATATCAAAAGTGCGTGTGGCAGGTACATTAAAAGCAGACTTAGCTGGATAAAACACTGACTGCACAAGTATCTCCTAAAGGACCGTGGGGGGCAGATGTAACTCCACTCCCCCACCCCCTACTCTGTCTTCACAACCAACCCACTGCTTTCGTTGCTCTTGTTTTGAAAGGAAGGAGGCTTTGCCCAACTCCCTAACCCAAGACAAGAACAGGGGTTGCAGAGGAGACTGAATTTTGGGGACTTAACCACCAGACATCATTGTTCAAGCATCAAAACAAAAATCACCACTTGTCTTTAAAATGGTATTATTTATAATGATCATGTTAATGACTTCCTTCAGATTTTTTGATCACAGTATGTCCCAGTTGTCTTTTTATCACCAACGCCTGGCACACTTCCTAGCACAGTTCTGGGCACATAGTAGGTGCTAACTAAGGATGAACCATATGTCAAAGGACCCTGAGCCTGTGTGCCCTGCTCTCCCGGAGGGCCCACTCCCAGTCCCCACATCACGATGTTTTCTTAAATAACTTATTTTATTTATTAGTAAGTAAAGATAAGCACTAGGTATAATTTTGTAAAAGAAGAACAGGACGTAGGAAAAGTAAGTCTCCTTCCATCCCTTTTCCCTAAGTCACTTGGGTTCCTTTGCAGTGATACCTCTGCAGATGTAAGCAGACGTGTCTGGGAAGACTTTTTTTTTTAGCAACTTCAATGCATTCCATAGTGTGGCTGTACCATACTTTATTTAAAAACAGTTCACCACTGATGAAAAGTTAGGTCGTTTCCCATTTTTGCACTTACAAACAATGGGGTTGTTTAAAAGTATACTGAGGCATATTGAAATTTTTAAGAGTTTTTCTGAGGAAAACATTGATCCAAATCAGGCAGTGCCAAACCAGAAGTGGTTGGGAAGCTCCACTGACAGGAGATGGAAGAGATTTTTGCTTAGAAAAGGTGGAAGCAGAGCAAGGAAATGGTTGATTGGCTATGGCTTAAAGCCTGATTGGCTGTAATTGGTCATCCTGAGGCCCTGACTTTGTAGCCTTGAGGCATGTGGACAGGCTTTGACTTTGACTTGCTGGTGTGGACACTGGGGCATTAGAGCTCCCTCAGGTGTATGGCCTCCTTGTTTAACCACTTTACCAGGACAAACGCACATGGCAATTCTGCAGGTGTGTAAGGATGTCTGCAGTTGAAGTACTTAGATGAGGAATTACTAGAAGGGATAAAGAAGAGAATGGACATTGGGAATAGCTAGGCATTTGTGACTCTGTTGGGATCAAGTGATGTTTATCAATTAATTTGTAGAGATTTGACAATTTATGATGACTCCCTACCCAAAGTTTAATGTGTCTCTTTATTCAGTTCTTCCCTTGGGTTCTTCATCTTAAAATTTTCTCCATCTAAGACTTGTACATTTCTTACTTATGTTTATTCCTAGCCATGTTCCCCCTTTTTTGTTGCTGTTGCTCTAGAAAGTGGAATCTTTTCTTATACGCCATCTTCTGATTCTTACTGGGATGTGCAAAGCCTATTGACTTTGGCATGCTGATGCTGGTGTTGTATGTTTAAACATTTTTGTTAATTCTCTTAGGTTGTCCAGCTTACAGTGACATCACCCTGTCCCGTCAATATTAACCTTGTATCACCTCCTTTCCAAATGATAACACTCATTTATTTTTCTTGCCTAACTGCATTAGCCAGTATCTCCAGTAAAATATTTCCAGTGGCATCAGTGGACATCTTTGTCCTGTTCCCCACTTAGTGATAATGTTATTTTCAACTTCCTCAAAGACTCTGGAATAGAAAATTCCACTGTTTTCTGACTGGCTGAGATCTGAAAGTAAACACATACACAGTTTTTTAGCACTGCTTTATTAGAAACATTTCATGTGATGTAAGTAACTGTACAATGGATCGTCCTGGAACAGAAAGATGAGATGAGTCAAGGTGATAAAAATGTTTCTATCACCCACATCCTAGAAGTCAAAAGAAAAATGTTAAATATCCAACCATGGCTTGGATCACAGTTTTAATTTCACATAATGAAAAGTAAATTTCATGAAGTAATAAATTATATAATAAAATTCAAAGATTAGATAAGGTGAGGTTATTAAACATGAGTATCAAATCATTTATACAAGGAGGCATTAACCAATGAGCACAATGTTGCTTCCTGAAATGCTTTCTGAAAAATACCAATTGGATGGGGATTTTCAAGAAAATCTGCATGATGTCAGGCAGTAAGTGGTTGTTCCTGGCATGGCGTTTGAGGTGGATGGGGAATGAACGGTTGGTGAGGACAGTGATGGGTGGTAGGCTCAGATTCTCTGATTCTCAAGGCAGGATTCCCAAGGTGGACATGTGTTCTTTTTACTTTTTATTTTTTTTAGTGGAGGGACTGGGGATTGAACCCAGGACCTCGTGCATGCTAAGCACGTGCTCTACCACTGAGCTATACACCCCTGCCCCCAGCATGTGTTCTTAAGCGAGCAAATATGCTCCATGGCTCATAGTCCCCAAAAGACATTAAAAGTACGCTAGGAAGAACACAGTTAGAAGCATTCTACCTGTCCCCAACTGCCGCTGCCAGTCCACTGCCCTCCACCTCCATGCTGTGGGGAACGTCAGCAGTCTCCTAAGGCTCAATTTCACCAACTACAAACACCCACCCTGTAAGACTGAAATGAGGATTAAAGGCGATAATGATTAGAAAGATCTTAGGACAGTCCCAGCGCCCCCATGTGAGCCTCTCCATGCTCCTGGGGTGGGGGAACCAGCCCTACTGCCCAGGAAGAAAAGCTCCCAACGTTACACCTTAACTTGATTTGAGGAAGATCATGCTGATGTTGAAATTTCAGGACGTAGGAAGGAACCGGGACTGTTACTGACTCGGAAGACGCCCTGCTAAGTCGGGCTGGAGGAAGTGCATGAGTGGCCATTTGGATGTCAGCATCTCAGCACGGAGGACCCTGTAATAGCTCATCTGTTCTCTCGCACGGGCCACAGTGGACTCAGACCCACCTTTGCTTGTGGTCTTGATTGTCTCCACGAAAGCTTGGATTTGTGTCCTTATTGCTTTGCTGCTTTTAGATTCAAGCTCTTATCTCTTTTGAGGTTGCCCTGCAGACACTGCCCTAGGGTTTGAGATGTACAGTCCTGGGTCTTCTAGGGTCACAGTGACTGAAGAGGGGCTTGTCCTGAGAAGGTCGGAGGGTCAGAGGAAACACCCTGGCCTCGGGCAGGCTTCCTGGCTGCCTCTGACACCAGCATAGACTGCGGATGAGCTGCAGCTTGTGGTTAAAGCATCACTCACCTGCCTGGGTCAGGGTCTCAACAAGGAAATGGGCGCACTGCCCACTGGAGGCACTGGAGACCCCTTATTTGGGGCACACTCAGACAGTTATTAGCTTCTAGAATTTTCAAAGACATAACGACCTCACAGAATTATTCATGATGGTACCTGAGTAATAGAAAACGCTCGGGTTAGTGACTGTTAAGATGTCTTGTGGGGCTTGTTAAAACAACGCTTGTCAAAGTAGGAATTCGTTAGAGACAATCTTGACTCGTCCCAAGTTTTGCTTCACTGGAATTAATTCAAGGACTCAAGAATTCCATGTGCCATGTGACTTGTACATAATATTTTTTTAGACATGATTATAAATAATTCAGGCATTTGCTCTATCATTGAAAAACCAAACACTCCTGGAGCAAACTAATACGTCTTAAATTACGTATAGTGTATCTTTTAATGCTCAGCAGAAAACTGTCAGAAACACAGTCAGAAAATTCATGTTGTGCTTTTGCTTCGTTCCTTGGACCCTGGCCACTTGCTGGCTTAAGCAGGGGCATCTCCTGATGGAAGCGGAAACGCCACACAGCACAGAAGGCTTAGCAAAGAAGCAGGTGACTCCCAGGAATGCCAGTGTGGCTTCAGGAAATGACAGAGATTGTCTGGTGTCCCTGGATCCGAATGAAGACAGGAGCATCACTGTTCTGTGGGTATCAACGAGACAGAAGTGCAAAAAGACCAATTAGTCAACTACACTTCCCAAGTGCGGCAAGGAGGGATGAAGCTCAACCCTGCGAAGGGTTCGGATTTGGTCTCTAACGCACATGTATAAGCGATGTAAATCAGAGTTCGGACCACAACTCCCCCAGAGAATGCAGTGCTGCACAACACTAGACTGATGTGCTGTGAAATGAAATGAAATGAAGTGAAAAAAAGCTATGAGCCATTAAACTTGGGAATTTAGGGGTTGGAAAAGATCAGTAGGGCTCACAGGCTGACATGCTAATTGCGCCTGGCTCTGCAAACAGAGACCATGGCGGGGCACGTTTCCCAAAGGGGCCCGAGTCAAGGGAGCGCTGTGGGTCTTTGGGGCATCTCTTGAGGCTACCTTCCTCGGTGCATTTTGGGAAGTGCTGCCTAATTGTGCTCAGCCTGTTTTACAGCTGCCTGAGCCGGGACAGGCTTGCGATGCCCCATGTCACTGAGTATACTGTCTAACTGAGTGCTGCATTGCTTCACTGCGCACTACAGTGCTTTACTGAGTACTACAGTGCTTTACTGAGGACTATAGTGCTTTACTGAGTGCTACAGTGCTTTACTGAGTATGGCTCTGCTTTACTGAGTACTACAGTGCTTTACTGAGTATGGCTCTGCTTTACTGAGTACTACAGTGCTTTACTGAGTACTACAGTGCTTTACTGAGGACTATAGTGCTTTACTGAGTGCTACAGTGCTTTACTGAGTATGGCTCTGCTTTACTGAGTACTACAGTGCTTTACTGAGTGCTACAGTGCTTTACTGAGTACGGCTCTGCTTTACTGAGTACTACAGTACTTTACTGAGTACTACAGTGCTTTACTGAGTACAGCTCTGCTTTACTGAGTACTACAGTGCTTTACTGAGTACTACAGTGCTTTACTGAGTACAGCTCTGCTTTACTGAGTACTACAGTGCTTTACTGAGTGCTACAGTGCTTTACTGAGTACGGCTCTGCTTTACCGAGTAGCACACTGCTGAGAACTGTACTGCCTCATTGGATACCAGACTGCACTGACGGTTTCCACCTCCACGTCCTGCCTGGCACTCAGTGAAACCAGTTCAGGAGGGAAACAGGAGAGGCTCGAAAGTTTAAACACGTCACCTGACCCATTCCTGCCCCCTCCTCCCTTCCTGCTCTCATTGTAGGTGGATTTCAGAACTTCCTGATGAATTTTCAGGGGCCCCATGCTGGGGAGACAGGCATTGTCACCACAGAAGAACCGCAAGGCTGCCCATGAGAGGCTGTTACTTAAAAAAAAAATCTTTCAGTTTTCATCTTGATTCTTCTGAGATTACAGAGAATTACAGGGGAAGGAAGGAGAAAAACCGCTCAGTCCAGACTCAGGTTAATTAGCTCCCTTATATCCTGTGCCTGGAAGGAAAATGTAACAGGTACGCATGTTTGGTTTCTTTTTTAGAGCTTCTTAAATCAGGAGATGCTTTAATTGTGGCAGAAAGCAAGATGGTGCAGGAAAAGGGACATTTTTCTAGCAGAACTCACCCGACCTTCTGCCTGACGGGGACTGAAAGGAAAAGACTTTTCAAGTCCAGTGTGGGACGCTCCTGTTAGTGACATAGTCAAGGTGCCCCTTGATTGGCATTTAGAAGGGAATCAGCAGATCACTGCCCCCTGCCTTATTCCAACTGACTCCCTGATCTCAGTCCCAAGACAGCGAATGTGGACCGCCTTCCTCCTGGGCAACATCCGGGCTCTGTGTCTCCATCACTGGTCCATCACATCGGCTTTGCAGCGGAGGCGGGAGAGGCCCCCTGAGCACCCGTGTCAATGACGTGGTCACTCACCCTCCTTCCCCCATCCTGTCACGCCTCAGGCCTGTGATTCCTGGATGCCAGCTGTCACACAGGAAGCAGTGGGCTCCCTCTCTCCCGCCTCCTTTGCCGGCTGGAGCTGCAGGATCATGGCCTGCAGAGTCTCCTTCACCATCTGGAGCTCCCTTTTGAGAGACTGTGCACATGTTGTTAAGGAACACATGTGAAGGTGATGGGCGGCCCCTGCAGCCTCCGAGGGGCCTGGTAGGAGCCACGTGCCTGCTGGCAACAGATGGGCCCGGCTGTCTAACTGCACTTTCAAGTTCTTCCAAATTGTAGGAATTAAATATTAATACAAAAGTGACACGTCTTTTAAGAGCGATTGGGATTTCAACGAGGCCTGGGGTCATGAACTATCTCAAGTAAGGCGTCCAAAAGGGAAAGGAAGAGTCAGCTCTTAGACCAAGACAGATGGCAAACGGGCTGCTCTAAGGTGTATGGTCAGCGTGACGGTAATTCCCGCTAAACCCCCGCGGGGGCAGGGCAACTGTCACATCCCAGTGCTCGGACAGCGGGAAGGGCAGGTGGCAGGAAATCGGAGCCTCCTGGAGCCATCCAGGGTTTGGGGCCACCTAGGTCCAGACACAGAGTCAGGAGTTATAGTCCCTGTTGGTCAGTCACCTGCCTTGTCACCTGTGCAGATCACTCTCAGCCTCAGTTTTCTCATGAAACAATGACTTCTAAACCACTTCAGATTCTAATCTGCTGACCTGTGGTATTGTACTCCGGGTACTTGCCAAATAGCTACTCAGGGCACCCAAGATTTGACGTAGTGCAGGGAGCTTCCTTCTTCTGGGTTGGTTAGTTAGTTTTTCTTTAAACTGTTAGGTTCCTAGTTTCTTAATCTGTAAAGTTTTGTCTCATAGAGATAAAACAATCACAGAGAACTTAGCAAATAATTTTACAGAATAAATAAGGCTGTATAAGCTGGGGGAACATTTAACCAATGGTGGCTTTTCTGTCTATCCAGTTAGACCCCTCTGTTCTTTCCTTTTGTACCTGTAGTCAGAAGAGTTCTAAGACAGGTACAGGATGAGAGATGGATTGAATTCTTTTAATTCAATCAGTAAACTGACTGAACTTCATCCAACAGAAACTAAGAGAAAACATAGACATGTGTTAACACCACTAAAGTGCTGGTAAATCACCACATGAGGTCAGACCATTTGAATATCACGAGATCAGACATGGGGAAAACAGAAAGCTGTGGGGAGAGCAGTTTGCAGAAATCTCACTATTCCCAGATGTCTGCATCTACTGCAGTGTTGCTTTATCCAAGTACAATGTCAATGCAATGTCAAGAGAAAGAGACGCCTTAGGTTATGACGAGAGAAAGCATCCTTTTCTTTTTTTAAATAAGGAACTCCAGAGGATCTTGGGAATTATGCAAATGAACCTGTCCTAAGCCAAAAATGCAGAACCACCTGACAAGCTTTCCGCAGCTTTTCATCCTCTTAAAGCTTCGCCAGATTTCATCATTACGTAATTTAC